GGTCAGCCCTGGGGCCATTTTGTTCAATGTCTTCATCAATGACCTGGAAGATGGCATAGAGTGTACCATCAGCAAATTTGCAGATGACACCAAGCTGCGGGGAGTAGTAGATACACAGGAGGGTATTGCTAGGATTCAGAGTGACCTAGACAAATTGGAAGATTGGACCAAAAGAAATCTCATGAGGTTCAACAAGGACAAGTGCAAAGTCCTGCACTTAGGATGGAATAATCCCATGTACCAGGACAGGCCAGAGGCTGACTGGCTGGGCAGCAGCTCTGCAGAAAAGGACCTGGGGGTTACTATGGTCAATAAGCTGAATATGAGTCAACAGCATGCCCTTCTTGCCAAGAAGGTTAAGGGAATCTGGAGCTGTGTTGATGGGTGCCAGTAGGTCAACAAGGGAAGTGATTATTCTCTTCTATTCAGCAGGGGTGAGGCCACAGCTGGAGTACTGTGTTCAGTTTTGGACCCCCACTACAGAGAGGCTGTGGACAAATTGGAGAGAGTCCAGTGGAGGGTAATGAAAATGGTTAGAGGGCTGAGACACAAGACTTCTGAGGAGAGGCTGAGGGACCTGTGCTTATTTAGTCTAGAGAAGAGGAGACTGAGGGGGGGAATTTAATAGCAGCCTTCAACACCCTGAAGTGAGGTTTGAAAGAGGATGGAGCTGGACTGTTCTTAGTCCTGGCAGATGACAGAACAAGGAGCAGTGGTCTCAAGTTCGAGCAAGGGAAGTTAGGTTAGATATTAGGAAAAAAATTTCTAATGAGGAGGGTAGTAAAGCACTGGAACAGGTTACCCAGAGAGGTGGTGAAATCTCCATCCTTGGAGGTTTTCAAGACTGAGCTAAACAAAGCTTTAGCTGGGATAATCTCGTTGCAGCTGGTCCTGCTCTGAGCAGGGGGTTGAACTACATGACCTCCTCAGGTCCCTTCTAACCCTAATTTTCTATGCTTCTATGGCACAGTAACTGCCCATACTGCACCGTGCACATGGCACGTGGTTAGATTTTTCCGCTATGTTGCCAGAGCAGCATGCTAAAACAGGGGAGCATGCCACTACAGCAATGTAGCTGCCGATCATATGTATATCTATGTAATTGTTACACTGCTGTAGCGCACTGCACGGCAATATAGCACATTCCTACATTGCCATAGGGCAACATGTAGACACGCTCATGGCATCTTATTTATGATCATAGAGCAGTAATTTCAGGAGAACTTACTTGAGAAATCACCATTACTATCTTATTAGTAGGTATGAACCGCTCCTGGCATGATCTAGAGATGATATAATATAACACATTAATGAACAGCTTGGTTACTTCTCATAGAGCATAATGCTCTTATATTTTTGTGGCTTTTTAACTGTTTGATTATATCTGTGCTGAATATGACATGACAGAGATGGAAAAATAAAGCCACTCTTTCACAATTTATAGTGTGTTGCTGTCTTCAGTCTAAAGGATAAACATGGGTAGAACATAAGATGAGATCAACATTGGACAAACCTATCTGAGAAAGTAATAATTCAATTGATATGGGCTCAGTGGGGAGGAGAATCCTGGGAAGCAACAGCAATGAAAGAGGCCTTCTTGACAGTGGGGAGAGAATTACACATGCATTTGCATGGTAAGATGTGTCAGCTTGAAAAGCAGTCCTGAGTTTCATTTGCAAAATGCCATCCTACTTTAGAAAAAGTATTTGTCTGTAAACTGTGCTTCAAACTCCATTCTAGCATCTTAAAGATTTCAACACCACCTTCCAAAAATATATTGAGAAACTGGAGTTTAGTCAGGGAAGACCAGATAAAAAGATAAGGGACTGTTGAGACTGATTCATGAGACAGATTAAAAGAGCAAAACTTGTATACTGTGGCTAATCAACAACCAGGGGAGGATTTGGTAACAGTCTGCAAACATCTGAACATTATGAATGCCAAATAGGGAGAGGATTTATTTAGGGAGATAAACTGAAACACAACATAAGTGATGGGATGAAATGAAGACAGACAATTTAGAGCTGTGTAGCTGAAAGAAATTTCTTATTTCTAGGGTGGTGGAACAGCCACCGAAGGGAAGTGGGGGAAGCCCAGTTGTTCAGACTTTTTAGCACTTGCCAGCATGGTCTCATCTGTGCTCCAGTATAAAAAGGTCATGGGAAGTTTGAGCCCATGATGCCTGCATCATATTCATAACTTTGGGATCTTGTAAAAGAACATCCAATTTAATTTTGCAGACATCAGATAAAGGAGAATCTCATTTACCCAACAGGAAGGGGGCTTCCCCCCCCTCCAGTTTTCCTTGTCTTTGACTACTGCATTAAAAAGAACTAAAATATACTTGAGAAAATAATCTTTTAAAGGCAGCACATGGTACTAGATGAACTAGTTTTCTCTCCTCGTTTTACTTCCCTGAGTCTATATAGTCTGCAAGCATTTGGGGCCACCCATAACTGGAGAGTATAATTCTCACCAGACTCAGTTCAATCCCAGTGGGTTGAATTGCTAGTAGTACTACATCTCTTAGATTTCCCAGGATGTGATGATAATAGAAACTGTTTGATGCTCAGCACCTATTACCATCAAGCCCCATATTAATTTGACTTCTAGGCTGAGAATGGGCCACTCCACAAGCAATACCCCAGGGAAGCAGACAATTGAACTACTCATGGGAATAAATACTATGCTTTGCAGAAAGTTCAGTGGCAATATAAGCAGGGGGACATAGAAGAGCTCAGCGAAAAAAACCCTGCAGAATCTGTCCTTAATTCTAAACCAAACCTAGTATCTGCTTTGTAGGACAAAAGGGCAGCACTTGATCTGCAAATTTACATTATCTTATACAGATATTTTTCCAAAGGAGATTAACTGCACATCTGTGAGCACTCTGGAAATTTACTTCCCTCTTATTTTCATTTTTGTATTTTACTAGCTGTGCTACGCAAGTGGCCACAGACAGGATAAAAGGAAAATAAAACACTTATGTTTTCCACGTATCCCCAATCAAATTTATTTCCCTCTCATTTTCAAGCAGCTTGTTTTTCACACCAGGCAGATGCTTTATTCCTGATGGCTTTTAATTGAGCATCATGCTGATTTGACTTTATAGCGCTGCTTACAGAACTTATTTTCTATTTATATCAATCAAGGATTAAAAGTGTTTAGACACCAGATGCTACAATTCAGATGGCACCTTCTGTTATTACTGGCCACTGTCTTGACCCTCCTCAAGATGTTTCAAATTTAGCAATCAGTCTGAAATTAGAAACCCACTTGATGAATGCACACAAACACAGCACTGTAATTCTCTCTGTCATGTGTGATATCGTGGGGACTGCTCTAGCCAGTGAGTACTACAACTCGGTGTAATTACTTTCATTCTGCTGCCTTACCGAAAGCTACATCATATGATCTGCCAGCACATGATTAGTAGTTTAATACAGTCTCTGGAACAAGGCATGCAAAAAATGTTTTGAAACACCCAGTAGAAATACTGCATCTGTTTAAAGGATTTGAATACTGCTATTGTAGTGAATTCAGGGGCTTGTGTTGTTCAGTCTCTTACAAATCTTGATTTTAAGTTTTTTATTGTTGCAATTGCAAGCAACTGACAGTCTTTTCATCCCAGCCATTTCAACTTATGGTGAGGACCACTGGACCTCACTGTATGTGCAGCACCATAAAACAAAAAAGACCATATTGATTGATACAAATATCCAGGGTTCTGCAATTTCACGTGAACCAGTCTGGTGTTTGTTGCATAACTCTTGGTAGTTCAGTGCCAAATTCAGAGCTCAGGTCTGAGCTAGCTTGTCTGTCCATACCAAACACACAAGTAAATACAATCTTCTTACTCCAAAAGAATGCTAAGAATTTTCTTTTTTCACTGGCCTCAACGAGTGTAATTCTAGCGTAAGGCACTAATTCTACGATATAGGTCACAAGTTAGCACACTAGATAAGAGTGGATAAATATTTCTCTTCAGTTTCTTACTCGCAAAGTTAACTTAATTCATTTGGATTAAGAGACCTTCATTTCGGCTGTAAAGGTTTTGAATGATGATGGTGTTCGAGCTCCTTTCTTAAATACACTAAATGAAAAATTGTTATTGCCCGCATGCTAAATATGCTGTTGAGAAACATTTATATTTTGTGCACTGAAGCCAGCTAATTAATAGTAATTAATTAATACAAAGGGAGCCTGTGAGAATGAAAACTTCTCATTTTAATTAGAAGCAAATATAGGACAATGCACATTTTCCCCTTCAAAGTATCTGCTTTAGCAATGTGGAATTATTATATATTTCTTAAATTAAACAAGCATGACAGGAGGATATTTTTTGGTCTTTTTTTCCTGATGCAGAGTAATTCACCATGTTTTACTTTATATTACAGTAGTTGTCTAGGACAGTAAACACATATTTAACAAGTGGGCATATTCCTTAAACAGAAATATATATATTTTTAAATAAGGTGTGAGACAATCCAACATTTAGTTCTATGGTGTTAAAAAAAATTTAAAAAAGGGAGAAATGAAGTTTGCCAGAATAATCTAACAATAGTTTTCCTCTAGGTATTGAATGTAGCAAGTCTACTCAGCATTTTTCTTCAGAAAATGAGGATGGTAATTCCTTTCCCCAACGAGAAAAAATCAATTATACACACCCTGTTGGGGTTGGAAGGCAAGGAAACCATTTAAAATGCGAGGAAAAAAATCAAGTTATAAAGGAGACTGTTAATATGCTTGTGTCATCGTGCGAGGGGATATGGGTGGGGAAAACGTGGGAGATACCAGATAGAGCTGTCTGGGGTGGTCCCTTGGCTGGACTCTGAAGTTTGGGGCTTTTTCTGTGTTCTCGCTAAGCCCGTCCCCCATTGATTTTTAAGAAATCCCTAGTTGCAGTTTGGGGCTATTATTGTATACTGTCACTACACAGAAAGCTGTGGGCCCAAGGAATTCAGTCTTCTCCTATCATTTCCCTTCTCCTCTGTACTCACCAGCAATATCCCAGAGCTGCAGCCGTACAACGGTCTCTGAATCCCAGTTGAGCACCTTCAAGGCGAAGTCCACTCCAATGGTGGCCCTGTAGTGGGGGGAGAAATTCTGGTGGACATAGCGCTTGATGATGCTGGTTTTACCCACTCCCAGGTCCCCAATTACTAGGAGTTTGTAGAGATGCTCCTTCTGAGTTGATTTCTGCATCTTCCCTGCTGCTGTTCCCTGTGAACTGATCGCATGCTCTGCCCGTGGACTCCTGCCAGACTGAGGGGGAGAGAGGGACTGAAAAACTAGGGAGGGAAGAGAGAAAAGAGGTGGAGGCTTCCCTCCCCTAGCACAAGAGCAGGAACACCCAAGCCCAGCAGCCAGCCCAGCTGGAAGATGAGAAAATAGTGAAAGAAGGGTTTGGGGTTTTTGGTTTTTTTTTTTTGAAGTATCTCCCAAAAGTTTTTTTTCCTCCAAAGTTCAGTATGATGTTATGTCCAAAGGATCAGCAGTACCACAGGGGCTGAAGGCTATGAACGGCAGCCCTGCCCATGTTTCACTCTCAGCTGGAGGGAGAATCCCTCATTTTTTAATTCATTTTAGGAGCTCTCTCCCTTCTGCAAAGGATTAGTTTTCTCTGATGTGGTTCAAGAAGCATGTAAAAAATCAGCCCAAGAAAGAAAAAGAAACTCTCCTTCTAGATAGTTACTGCCTGACTAAAGGCCAGTTTATTCTTTAAAGAATACACCAATGTAACTATTTTGATTAGAAACATGGCATGTGTTTTATTTCTTTTTAAAACCCCAAATCAGTAAAAGCCTTAGAGCAGTCATACCTGTATGTAACATTGGAGTAGTTTTTCCTCTTTCCCATGTGGGAACGGTTATGCTGATCTAAACTGTTTTTATGCTAATATACCAGTACAACAAATGAGTATAATTAGTCCCATAGCTACAAAATGTAGCATGCAGTAAATTTAGGAAACGCCTATTTTGTTGTTGTTCCTGTTCATAGAACTGGAATCTAATAATGAAATGAGAGAGAAACTAGACTAGAGCCATCCAATTTTTCTAGTGACGCTACCCATCTGCCCTGAGGGAAAACAAGACAGTTGTGCAGAACATAGACGAGGATGGTACATTATTCTTCCAAAACTAAAGACCTCCAATCCTGCAAAAGCTTAAGCTTCTGCTTAATTTATGGAAAGTCAGTTAGTCCTTGCTGCAGGATAAGGGCCGGTATTTTGGTTGAGATTGATCATAGTGATGGCATAACAAGACAATTTGAATGGAAGACAAAACAGCATTAAAGCTGGCTGAGAATATTTATAATAAATGAATGGCAAGCATTTCATTTCAAGGTCATTTTGAATTGGTTTCCATTTTTCTGAGTTGGAAACTAAGTTTGTGGCGGGGGGGGGAGAGGGAGTTT